ACTACCCATAGGCGCCGAATTCAAAATTTGAGCATAGCGTGCAACCCGTGCGTGCCAAATCCAAAATTTGAATAGTCCACGTGTGACAAGTTCAAATTTAAAACAATTTGCGCATGGTGAACTATAAGGCTAGAAATTTCATCCTATCCTAGGAGAATGGTTTGTTGATGGATACCACTTGGAGAACTTAACCGAGGAAAGTCCTAAAGGTCGAGTTCGATGAGGCACTGGCAGACGAGGTTAGATTCCTCGTAGCACAAAAATCCTTGGTTGACGAATTTCTGGTTGAATCGATGCTTGTTCAGGCTGGTCAGAGTCCCGTAGCTAGGCCGCCCATATTGCATTCTTGTTTTGCTGATTTGACTGCTTTTTTCTTTTCTTTTAATAGACATGTCTAGTACTACGTCCGTTCTGGCCACCACGAAGAGAGCTTCGAAGAAGAAAAGGAGGGATGCCAAGTGTTCGCATGCATCGGAAATAGAGGAGACAACAAAGAGAAGGCCAGTTGCGAGGGAGCCCAACATGGTGGACATTGACGAGGAGGGCGGAAATCCTATGTTCGCCGACCCTACCTCTTATGCTAGGCCAAACCAAATCACTCTATTGGAGACGTACACACACCTCCCGACTCCATCCTCAAGGGCTCCAATTTACACAGCCCCATCTATAACTCAAACTAGAAGGTTATTACTACAAATCCGGTATGAGATCCTCATGTCGCTCCCGAAGTGAGCGATGGTATTCCCCTCCCTGAAGATGCTAAGTACTAGAACGAGTAGGCCATTGCCGAGCTTGGTGTAATGATGATCCATCACTCGTTACTGGTAAGTGCTTTCGCACTTTGGAGACTTGCATGCATGCCTATTTCTTCACTAATCACCCCTTCTTGTAGGCCAAATGCATGGGTCAAGCCCTATTTCACCGAGCTATCCATTTGGAATGGAGTGCCCTAAAGATCAAGTCAGACATGGGGGCCCTTCAATCTCAGTTAGAGGAAGTTCAGCTTGAAGCTCAAGAAGATCGCCAATGGTTCCTTGACGCATTGACTAACTTAACGTGCCAACTAGATGAGGCCAGGGGCAACATAGCTAGCCTAACAGCCGAGGTGGAGCAACAGGCTCGCCAACTCGAGGAGAGACGAAGCAAATACTTCCGAGGACATCCATTGGGTCAAGTAGGTGGTGGTCGAAGAATTCTGTCATTCACCTAAGTATGAGTGTGAGAAGGCCAAAGTCGCCATGCCTAACCTCAAAAAGGGATTTAGGTTGTGCTATCATCATCTCCGATCTCTTCACTACAATTTCAATTTTGGTCACATATCTATTAGGTCGGTTCCAGATAGCCTAGGCGACCAGGTCGATGTGGATCCTAACACATCGGATGAGATAGGGAAGGATGACGATGATGGGGTCAAAGATGGCATTGAAGAGGGCTACGTCAAATAGGAAGTGTAGCAGCTAATGATGTAGTTCAAGTCTATGCACCCAAGACTTTCTACCATTTTTTGGATTTTTTAAACCATTTTACTTAAGTAGTGGAATCCTTCTTATCTTAGGAAAAATGACTAAGTCCAAAAGAAAAGCCGAGCTATTCGAAGGTTGTAGTGGTAAGAGCAAACTGGCCTATCGAAATTTTGGCTAAGTCCAAAATGTAAACTGAGCTGCCTAGGGGCCAAAATGCAAATAGCGAACTGGCCTATCGAAATTTCGGCTAAGTCCAAAATGTAAGCCAAGCTGCTTGGGGGCCAAGATGCAAAGAGCAATCTGGCCTATCAAAATTTTGGCTAAGTCCAAAACACAAGCTGAGCTGCTTGGGGGACAAGATGCAAAGAGCGAACTGGTCTTGTAGAAAATTTGGTTAAGTCCAAAACACAAGCCGAGCTGCCTAGGGGCCGAGATGCAAAGAACAAACTGGCCTCGTTGAAATTTTGGCTTAGTCAAAATTTAAGCCGAACTGCTTCGAGTAGGGCCGACCTGTGTCAAGATCGCCCTGATGACCTGTTGGCCTTGACGAGTAGAGTCCAAGAATGTTGCCTTGATGACATGTTGCTTCTCCATGAAGACCTGCTTTTGTAGTAAGGTGACTTGCTATGTTTACGAGGCAATCTGCTGCGTCTGGGAGACCTGCTCCTCTTCTTTTGTTTACTACTACCTTGGTCGTCCTTCGATCTCTTCCTCTTCCCATTTAGCTCAATCCAGGATCCAAGTGGTGTCAGACACTATTAAGGTAGGTTGGTTTAACTTGACCTCCCAGTGTAAGTCGGGGTGTTAGACACTATTAACCGCTGCAATGAGTTGGACAATGAGATCAAGGTTTAGGATTTGGAGTCGTTCTAGGTTGAATCTGTGAACTGGTTCCATATCTTGATTGAGCCCACGACCAACCCAATGTACCACATCTGAGTTGTACCTCAAAATGTTGTTGGGATGGCCATGCACAAGCTCGCTTTTGGCGCCTATGAAGTTGCATTAGGTCTGGAAACTATCGAGTGGTCGATTGGGCTAGTGGTGCCATCATAAGACTTGAGGTTAGGGGCCTTAAAGTCCTTGGGCCGAGGAGCCATATGAATCTTGGCCATCAACGGTGATACGCGAGTGACGTGCAGAGCAGACGAAGTGGCAACATGACTGACCTCTTCTTTCTTCACATCTTTCCCCTTGTTTGGGGCGAAGCGGGTCTTCCCTGGGTTCTATTGGGAGCATTGACGGTGTCTCTTGCAAGACCCCTCCGTTGCACCCATGTCGGCGGGGTTAGCCATTGAGCTAGCTTGGCTAGTTTCTTTGGATAGGATGTATGAGGAATCGAGCTTCCGGAAAGCGAATTCAGGCTTGCTTGTTTCTTCCCTGCTCACATTCCTAGTTCTGGTCATAGGGAGGAGCTAGCACTTAGCTCTAAGCCCAGTCTAACTTGTTGAGCTGTCGGTTCTGGTTCGCATTCATCACTGGGGCAAGGCTTGGACAACGGTCTACTACTAAGGTACCTGTGGCATCTACAAATGCCAAGCACAAACTGGTGGGGCATTGCGACTATCACTGTGAAACAACCTTCCTACGTCTGCATCCGTAGTTCTATGCCACATACATACTGCATCAACTCATAAAACTGATGGCTATCGATCCCTACGGGAACCATTGAGGGCTCAATAGTTGGGAGAGGCATAGTTTGAGAGGACAGAGGGAGGTTCAATCCTGGGGTGTTCGTGATGCCTGGCAAAGTAAGAGGGATAGTGAATTGTCCTATCATGACGAATGGGTTCTCCATGTTCGACGCAAACTGGCTTTGCCCTCTAAGTGCAATGTCCTCAACCTGGATGTTGTTGTTGTTGGCGTTGCTTGGAGATGCCATTTCTCGTTTAGTGAAAATGTGAGAACTTGACTTATTGTATCAAGTTCCCATAGATTGAGCCAATTAATGGTTTGTGATCTGGTCGCTCCCTATTGGAAGATAGCTCAAATGGTGAGTTGCTAAAAAGAGAGATCAGAGTGTGATGCTCTCTTGGTGTAGGAACTTTGATGCTTAAGTCAGTGAAGAGTTTTGGAGAACTAGAAAGCAAGAAAGTAAGAAAGTTGTGAAAGCTAAATTGTGGGTACCTTCTGCGAGAGAGGGGACGCCTTTATATAGGCATAAGGAACCGAGAGCTTTGCGTAACGCGTTCGAGATCTCCGGGAATCCATATCCGCCATATTCGAAGGCGATTTCTTAGTTGGAAAACATGATCCACGTAGAGGGATAATGTTTGTCCGATCAACTCCGATGTGAAAATGCAGAGAGACAGGTCTAATGGTCAAGCATTGTGATCCCGGAGAAATCGGAGACAATAGCTCACTCATGAAGGAGACCGGTCGCTATGTCAAGCATGTCAGCCACTAGCCCCAATCAAGTTGGTCGGGTCTTGGGGGAAGGTCGCCCTTGACGCCGAGGTCCCAAGCTCGATCGTGATCAGGTCATTAGGTTCGATTTTTGACATAGATTCGAGTTACCTGAGGTGTGAGAGTCTCCTCCAAGGTATATCACGTTTGATGTGGCTCGAAAGTGCCATGTGGCATGCTATGACTAGAGGGCCAAATTCTCTTTCATTAAATAGGAAACCGAAGGGAATAATGTGACATAGCTCATCCTCCACTTGAAATAAACATTATAGAAATTAGATTTAGGGATTGCTTGGAGGACGAAATAGTGGTGTGATTGTAATTCCAATCGATTTATATGCACAAAACTTGAAAACTAGATAGGTATTTTGATTATTGTAATATAATAGAAGCTAAAATAGATTCAAATTACACGATCACATAAGCAATGTGTTGGGAAGAAAAAAATGAAAAGAATGAATACTTGGAGTCTAATTGTGGATGATGGTGTTGGTCGCCACCAATTGGAGAGGGAGAGAGTGGGAGTACAAAGGGTGGGTTCAATTTGGTGTGGTGCGAAACCGAAAGTGAGAGGAGTTTGGCCAGAGAGCAGTGGAAGGAATGAAGAGATCCACGTTTCATTCCTTCCACTCCTCTCTGTTTCAAACACGCACATGTTTCAAGGACACGTGGCACATCTTCATACTGCACGCATGAAATTGAAGTCACATCTGCCCCACAAATGCACCTAAAAACGTCTCATCCGTGTATCGGAAAGATATCTGAATGACAACATCTGACATGATATTCTCAATGCACGGTGAAATATGCGTGGGGCGTTTGGGCGCGTTCTGTGAGTACAGATGTGAAGTCCATAAAGTCTGCTCTAATGGAAACCGGACTCGTATGCTTTACAGTTGATGCCTCTATGATGAGTTACGTGTTTTCTTGTGATTGGGTAACTAAGCCCGTCGTACACTTTCTTTAGCACATACCGCCGAGAGCACGTTGCGACCACGCGCTCTCTCGCGAATTCCAATCAAATACTGACGGGTCAGAATTTTAAAGGATTTAAATACATTTATATTTATTTCCATCGCTGACTTGTCCGTGTATTATTGGGGTTTCGTAAAGTGTGCTGCAGATGTGAATACAATCTGCCCCAGTGGACCTCTGCTCTACTTGTTTCCGTTGAATGCCGGAGACTCTGCGCGTAGAAACGTGAGAACTGAGAAGCGTCAAGTCAAGGCAATATTTGTGAATTTCGAATTAAGAGAGAGAGAGAGGCTCTCCGGTTGATTTCCGAGAAGTAGACGAAGGACAAGTCAACAAGACTGGTTTCTTTGCGGCTTCGTCTGCTCTTATTCTGATTTTTTCGGGCGATCGAATCTAGTGTTCTTATACTGTTTTCGGACTTCAGAGTAGAGTCATCGGTACAGGCTTCCTTAAATACCAAACCCACTTGCCTTTCTTTCTCCCTCTTTGTCTGTCTGTTTGTCTCTTCTAGAGCAACTAGCGAGGGAAATTCAGAGCGAAGTTTTAATCATCTCAGAAGGGTTGCTCCGGAGAACACTGGGTTTGTGAACCAAGTTGACTAGCTCTAGTGGAAGTTAATTACAGACGGTTTATTGATTTGCTGTTGAAAATTGTGCAGGTTTCTCTTTGGTAATTTTATCTATTATCTTTTATTCTTCATGCATTTAATAATGCATATCTCTTCCTCTTGGTTCTGTTTTCTTTAATATTTGAATGAGACTGTTTTGTTATATGAACTGATTTGAGGCGTATCTCACCTATTACATTGTCGTTATATATGACATAGTAAAAGAAGGATAAGGGGATTTTGTCCCAGTATAATTAAATCTTTGCATCAGCTGCAAAGTTGGCTAAGTTATTAGCACAAGAATTGAGCTCTCAACTCGATGATGACAGCTTCAAAGTTGGAGGAGTTGCCTGGTTTTCATGGTGGAGAGTTTCATGTCCCATGACATGGGTTTATGCTGATTTCTTAGTATTCCACTATTAGCTTTGAATCACCTCCCGTAACCATGTGTGAGTAATAGATCCAATGGGTAACTCGGATGTTAACTGCTGCTTCTGCTTCTGCGACAGGGGCTGTTGTATATCCAATATATAGGCTGCTATTGGCTACTTGAAATCTACCGGATTTATCCCTAATGATTCATCCTAAGTCTTCTGGCCCAGGGTTGCCCCTGGCAAGGCTGTCGAAGATGAGATTCACAGTGGTTATCTTTATGTTGAGGCTTTCCCCAGCACCACTTGAAACCATCTCTACTTCAGTGCCTACCTTGGAATCACCTCAAATGAGATTCATAGCTAACGGAAAATCACAAAGACTTCAAAACACAAAATAATCCTTAAAAAGGAACCAAGTTGCAGGTTCAATCCTAGACTGCACCCTGGGAGGGAAACCCCTATCTGTGCACTGGTAGAAACAGATATTAATTGGAACTCATTTCAGAGGCCCTAGAAATAAATCAAATCAAAATCACCCACTATAAATAAACCCAAAGACACTAGAGTGTCGCTTAAGATCTTGATCAATCAGTATCTAAAAAATTTCTTACCTTTTTTCTCTCCTTTTTCTTGATTATTTGGTAGAAACTCCAGGTCTCCTTCTTTTGGCAGCAATGAATCTTATATTTATTCTTTAAAAATCATCAAAAACCTGGCAGCTCATTATAGATTGATCAACTCCATTTTTTCTGCAGTTTGCTGATCCTAAAACTGCATGGGTTTCACCTGACAACTTTTTTGAATTTCTCTAATACCTATTTATTTTTTTCTTGAATATAATTTTTTTTCTTGATTCTAACTTTATATGATTGCGAGTGAGAGGAAGAAGAAGAGAAGTAGAGAAATAAAGAGAAGAGAGGAGAAACAGTAATGCAAGCAGACAAAAAGTATAGGGGCATGTGTCCCTTTATAATATTTATATCAATCACCAAATTATATATGCAAGGGAATTTCTATGATGTTGGAAAGGTATGATATCAGAAGAACTTGGACCAATCAGAAAGACACCATGGGTGAATTTTGTTGAATACCAGCTAATTGGTTATCATAGTTAGACTCAGTCGTTCTTCTTTCTTCCCAACACAAAGAAAAAGAAGAAGCTATAAGTAACTAGAATAACTAGGAATAAGTAAGCTAGAATAATAACATAAATCTCTCAAAAAGTATCCATTTAGAATTTGGAGGAAGTAGCAGAAGAAGAGACTAGAGATGATGATGATATAGCTGATGAAGTTTCTAAGGTTAACAAGATAGTAGGTTTAAACAAACTAATTGAAAAAGGAGTTGAGGTTGGCAAAAATAGACTTTCGCCGCATTTGGTTTGCGGGAATAGGGATCGTCTGGAATCGGAATTGGAATGGGCTATTCCAATTCCAACTATTTGGTTGGGCAGAATCGGAATCCCATTCCCATTCCTGTCTGAACCAAACAGACTATGGGAATAGACCATTCCGATTCCAACTCAGAAGGGTTTCGTTTTCGGTTTGCTTTACAAATTGCTTTAGTTAGAATCTTTGCCAATCGATCTCCTGTCTGAACACAAGGTAAGCAGACTTCCTCAATAGCCACTTTTCTTTAACAAAATGCATGTCTACTTTGATATGCATTTTTCTATCATGTTGGACAGAGTTATGTGCAATGTTGATAGTAGCTTTGTTGTCACAATCCAGCCTCATTGGATCATTGATTGGGAACCCTAGTTCTTGGAGTAATGTCTTTTAACCATAGTAGTTTGTAAGAACCTAGAGTCATTGCCCTATGTTCTACTTTAGCACTTGATCAGGTTGTCATTGATTGTTTTCTGCTCCTCTATGTAACTAGGTTTCCTCCAAATGAAATTATATCTTGATGTAGATATTCTATCAACAATAGATCTACCCAATCTACATGAATACAAACTTTAACTTTCAAGTTTCCATGGTTCTTAACATGAATAAAACAGATTATTTATATTAGACATCCTTCAATCAGAAATTCAAATCTGAAAATTTTCCTTATTTCACAGGAAAACTCAATAAAAAATATGTACCTCATTCAGGTTATGAGGTCCCCTTGATTATCACTGTACCAGTAGTCGATAAATGTAATGACATCACCTGTACAGCATGATGATGCCAGCAATCTCCCCTTACTAGTAATAGGTGTAGGATCTATAGTGGCCTGTGCTCTAAGCCTGGAGGCTCTGATAGACTGATACCAAGTAGAAGCATGAAGATGACAGTTGGGATACTGTCCAAGGAAGGAGAGAAGAGATTAAGAGAAGAGAGGGATTGGGGCAATGATCAATAGTGTGGTATCTGTCCCACACATTCACCTATCTTGGAATGGAGAAAACTACCATTGTTACCCCTAATTAAAAGATAATGTAAAACATACTTATTATATAATAGTTCTAATGGGGTGTTGCAAAAATTGATACTAAAAGGTGGAGTTGATTTGGTGAGAGGTTGGGGTTCAGAAGGGTTTATTTTTTATTTTTATTATTTTTTGAGTGGTTTATAAAGTTGGTCTTGGAGAGGTGGATGGAAGTTCTGGTAAGGCCTCTGGCTGGTTGTAGAAAAGACTTGGGATAGAATCCCACCATCACGAGGGTTGGGGGGCGGGGGGCGGCGTGGAGGTAATGTTATGGGTTTTGGGGATGGGCTACCCTCTTTATGTTGCCCCATGTAATCAAAAATAAAAAAATCCAATTTTTGGAAATAAAAGGCCTTTGAGAGGTGGATGGAAATTCTGGTGGTTTGGCATGGATGGTTGGGGGAGGAGAGTTGAGGTCTGTTGTATTTTTTCTTATTATTGTTTGTGTTGGGTGTTTGATGGCTTTGTCTTGGTGGGGAATAAATTTTCCTTGACTCTTTTCTTTTTATTTTGGTGATATCTGATCACTTGAGGTTGTATCTTTTTCTTTACTATCAAAAAGAAAAAAAAAAGTTTATTTAGAAGGTCACCTGTTTACAACTTTATTGCGGGTGCATGTAACTATAAAACATATAACATCATTATATGTATTGACCCATACCTCTTGTCAGGCATGCATGCCAGACACTGGTTGAAAATGGTTGCTCCCTTATCTTATTAAAATCTTGTCAGTTTGCTTTGACAGCACTTGCTAAATTTTGAATCCATATGGTCAGTTAAATCTGCTATGAAACACTTAATTCCATTGCCTTATTAATATTTTTGGTGATTAATACATTAAAATGTGCAGCTGCTTCAAATGTTGAATGGATAGAATAGAGGAATCTGGATCTTTGCTTATTTGTTTTCAACTTTTTAATACAGGTTTAGTCCCTGAGAAATGGCTAGTGATGAAAAAGATGAAGTGCCCATGTTATCAAACACTGATTCTCAGTCATTGGATGAAAGCTTGGATGTTGAATTCCCAAGATTTTCATCAAGGAACAGGAGTGCATCCATGTCTATAACAATGAACTCTGTGCACTTAAATGAAGGTGAAAATAACTTTGTAGGTTATACTGGTCCTTTGCGGAATGAAAGGAGAACTCCCTTTGTGCAGATGAGTGGTCCTTTATATATCAGCCGGAAACCTGAGAACTTTAATCGACCAATGCATGGGTCAATTGATGACAAAATATCAATACTTACAGCCGAACACTATCCTTCATTTAATGGAAGGGATAAAAAAGAATGGATGGATGAAAGTTATGCCCGCAAGAATGAACATTTGTTGAGGTCCGGGCCATTGGGAGTATGCAATGATCCTTACTGCACAACATGTCCAACATACAATTTCAGTGGATTTCAACAAAAGAACTCAAAGGTGCTTGTCCCTTAACAGTTCAGCTCTCCATATTTATGCTTTCGTACTTACATCTACAAAATCTATGTGTATCCATATTAATAATTTATGTGTCTGACTTTTTTAAATGAGGTCCATACATAATTTAGATGAAGTAAACAAAGAACCTGATTATATAGCTATCTATCTGTGATAATACTACAGGGCTTCTAGTTTCTTTTGATAGGTGATGCATATTTAATGAATAAAAAAATTAAATGTTACAAAAAGATAATGAGAAGGACCCATCCAAAAAAAGTGTATTCTGTCAAGGAAAAAGTAGATATAAGAACCCAATTTTTCAAAGTGGGTCACCGGGCAGGCATTTTTTTTGAAGAATCAAGCAAAAATTTCATTAAAAGAAAAAATATTACATCCTAGCACCCTTGGTTGTTTAGATGACATACCAAATACATTCTCCAAGCTTAAAAATGAAAAGGGTTTTGCATTACAAGGCTGGAAATCAAGGAAATTCCAGAAGTTTTCAATGGGATCAGCTTTGGAGGCTTGATCAGATTGCCCATTCCTACTATCAAATATTCAATGCTCCACCCATTCTCTTCCCTCCTCCTTCTCTCATACCCCTTGCAATCCAGCTAAGGAACCACATCTTCCTCCCCATCTCCCTGTCTTCCCACCAATCCCAAGATCAGTCAATCTCTTCCAGTCCCTCCTCTTCTCCCACTTCCTCGTTCCACCCCTCAACTTTTTCTAAATACTCTTCCTTTTTCTTATTCTCTTCTATTTTCTTTTTTTTCAAACTTCTTAAAAGCTATTCTTGCGAAGCCTTCCCCTCCCCAACAAACTAAATCTAGAGGCTTTCCTATCTCGACCTCCCTCTCCACCAATGTAGAGGACTGATTTACTTCTTGGTATCAGAGCTGGATTTCCCTTCTCTTTTTTTTTTTTTTCTTTTCTCTTTTCCCATACACCCTTCAATTAGGAGAGTATACAGAGAGATAAATTCCGTATAGTTTAGGGGATCTTTTCTCTTTTCCCACTCTTTTCCCATACACCCTTCAATTAGGAGAGTATACAGAGAGATAAATTCCGTATAGTTTAGGGGATCTTTTCTCTTTTCCCACTCTTTTCCCATACACCCTTATGCTAATCGTGCATATATAAGACCATTGCTAATGTTTTGTCCCTTAAGGTGAAAAAGGTATTGCCATCTCTAATTTCTTAGTATCAAGGGGCCTTCATTCAAGATCAGATTTTAATTGCTAATGAGTGTGTTGAGGCCTAGAAGAGATTAAGAAAGAAGGGAATTGTGGTTAAGTTGGACTTGGAGAAATCCTACGATCTTGTGGATTGGTTTTTAATTAACATTTTGAGAATTTGTGGCTTTGGATTGTTGTGGTGTAAATGGGTTAGAGGATGCTTGCAATCAAGTCATTACTCAATATTTGTTAATGGGTCGGTGGTAGATTTTTTTGAAGACACTCGAGGTCTTAGGCAAGGTGACCCACTATCCCCTTTTGTTTTTGTTATGGTTGTGCCTTGAATTCTTTGTTGTGATCTGCTTCGAATTAAGTTGAGAAAAACCCAAAGGAAAAATTTCATAGTAGTTTGTAGTGGAAGCATAGGGCTTGGGCTGTCCCTGTAGTGCTAAGGATAGGATGCATATTCATCTTATGGGTCTGAACCAAATACAAAGAGTTATTTACTTAGGGGGTTTCCTCTCTATTGTATACTTAGTCTTTGTCTTATGGGAGAAGATAGTGATTTTGGGTGTATTTGGGGTTTAGGGTTTTCTGTAAGTGATGTTGTGAGTGCACAACTCTGTATTATTCTCCATTGCTGATTACATAGTGGATTTCTGCTCCTCTTTCGCCCGTGGACATAGGCTATGAGCTGAACCATGTAAATCTATCTGTCCCCTTTGCTTGCTTCTCTTTATCTCTATTTTTTTTTCTTTTTCTTGGGTGCCATGTGAATCTGTTTTTTCTGGGTTTTGTGAAACAATTTTCACCTTGGTAGCTGAAGTTTTGAGCAAATTGATCTCTAGAGCCAATAGTTTGCAGCTGATTAAAGGTTGGTCAGTTGGGAGGGATAGAATTCTGGTCATGCACTTACAATTTGCTGATGATATCCTAGTCTTTTGGATAGGGAATTCAGAGATGGGTGGAAAATTTGAAACTAGCAGTAATCCTTTTGAGAGGGCTTCCAACTTGACTATTAATTTGAATAAAGGCTTATTTTCCGGAGAAAGGGGAGTGGCCACTCAAATACTTGGGGTGTGAGAAGGGGAGTGGCCACTCAAATATTTGGGATTACCTCTAGATGACAACCCCGGGTGAAGGGATGAGAGATCCATCATATGGACGCCAAAATCTTGCGGAATAAGGTGGGCGAATTTCAAAAATTTTTATCTCCCTTCAACTGGGAATCGAATTTCCTATTTAGAAAATCTTATTTTCAAGGATCAATCTTGAACCATAAACTAAATCAGATCTGAACAAAAGCAGTAGGAGAGAATTATACCTGATACAGAGAAATATTATCTCTCAATGGAGGTGTTCACGCCCAAGGAAGGATCCAAAGACTACTCCCACTGAATATGGCGCAGTGCAGGATGGAGCAGAATCAACAGTGTTCTCCAAGAACCTGATCCTTCGTAAGAATAGCTGGATGGCACGTGAGCACTGCTTCCAATCAGTCCTTTCACAAAGGGCTGCTATCAAGATCGAATCTTGATTTTTCCTACAAAGTTGGAGATCGAACTAGAGGTCTGGTGGCGGCAAGAAAGTATTTCGCAGAAATTGCAAAAATCTTTCTTCAGTGATTTCAACTCTGAAGACTAGAGAACTTGGTGATGTGTTTTCTGTTGTATCAAAAGGTTGCCGCCCCTTCTTTTTCTTGTAACCCTAAATGATCAGCTCCTAATCCAATTAGGAGTTGCTGATCCAAATCACATTTAGATCAGACATCCCTTTAGGTGATAAGGATAAACCCTTATCTTATCTGTGGATTAGATCAGTCCTCTCCTAATCCTATTAGGAGGCTCCTAGATCTAAATCTTATTTAGATCTTGGACTCTCTGAGTGGATAGGGTCAAGGCCCAATCCTATTAACTGATTTAATCCCAGATCCGCCCCTCATTTAAACTGATCAAATCAGCCCAGTTCGAAATGAGCTTCAGGCCCATTAAGGTTATGTGCTCACTAAGCCTTCTAAACTGCTGCTCAGTTGGGCTTCCTTGTATGGCGTGGGACCCAAACATTGATCTACACATCAGCCACATGGGTTCGGCCYAGCCTTTGTTACAAGGCCTGGCCGAATACACTGCTATAGATGGTGCACCCCTTGAAACCCATCAGATGGGCTCTATGGGCCCAACACTTACCCTAAGTGGTCCCTGGGCCAAGCAACCTTGTAACACCCAGGGACTGTGGGAAGATGCAAGGTTAGCCCATCAGGTATTATCCTCAATGGTCTTACACTCAACCTCTCAGCCCATAATGATCAAACACTACCCGACAAGAGAGGACCTCTCCCTCAGCTGCAAGGAACAGTGTTGCACTCTCTATTCATATGGATCCCGGGAATTAAAACCTTTTGCAAACATTTTAGAAATCATAATATATATACTTTTATATCTCATATAAAATATATTTTGCAAAACAAATCTCAACGATTGAAATCAGCTACCGGCAGTCTTGGTTTCCATCAGTAAGAGTGCATCCTCGATCATTAACTTTGTCCGACAAAGGGGCTAATCCTGTCACTGATTGGTACATCAAAGACAGCCCAATCTGACACCTAGTGTAGTATCATAATCGAGTCTAGGGGTCGGGTGTAAGTTTCCAGTTTTGCCCATTAATCTCCAAGGTCCAGGGCAACACTGGAAATCTGGTTCGGTTCAAAGATTCAATTAATCCTACACTGCATGTGCCTTGGGTCTCACCTTGTCGACTGAGACAGGCCACCCCAACCAACTTGGTGGCACACCAGTGTTAGCCTTATCAGGATAGGTCTCCCCAGACCGACCCACCGGCTGTGAACATTCTAAACTAACACGAGTCTCATTAAGTGTCCAATTTAAGGGTATTACACAGAAACATACCAAAGGAACATGAATCAAATTTGTACTTTATTCATTTCCAATAAACTCATAATGTACGTCATTCTGATTAAAGCTAAGGGCATACAAAAACTGTCTAACACCGGGTCACTTGGCTTTTGGAATCCAGTGGTGGAAAGGTTTGAGAAGCGAATAGCTGGATGGAAACACAATTATGTTCTCTACCTTAGCTAACCTTCCTGTTTATTATATGTCAGTTTTTAGGATACCCCAAGTTGTGGTGAAAAAAATTGAAAAGATTATGAGAGACTTCTTGTTTTCTCTTTCAAACTGTTAGGTTGGCAATTCCTGCTATTGTACCTCTTTTATTTTGTGTCTGATAAAAATAGCACCTGGGGCGGCAGATCAGATTAGATTTTTTTGCACCCCTTTTCCTATTCTTTCTTCTCTGCTCTCTTCTTCTCTTCTCTTCCATCTCTGTTCTTTCTTTCTTCTTGCTAAAACAAGTCTGAACCAAGGTACAAACAATCGTTACGAATCAGCCCATATCGGCCAATACGTATCATATCGGCCCCTTCCCAATACGCCTGTACAGGGGTTGTATCGGGTCAGGGCCCTGGTTCATAGGGTAGCCGGTGAAAGAATGGTAGGATCCATCGTATGGACGCCAAAAAGGTTGCGGAATGGGTGGAAGAATTTCAAAAATTTCCTACCTTTCTTCCAATTGGGAATCGTATTCCCTAATTTTAGAATCAAAATTCAAGGGTCCTACTTGAACCAAACCAAACCAGATCTGAACCAAAGATCAGGGGAAGGGTTATACCTGATACGGAGAATCAAAATCTTCCAATGTCGGTGTTCACGCCCAAAGAAAGATCCAAGATCTGCTCCCGCTGAAGATGACACARYGATGRTGGGGCARAACCAACAGTGTACGTCTCACGTACCGAACTCTTCA